GGAACCCAGGTCAAGGTTGTGTGTTCATGTTTATGGTTGTGTGTATGAAGTGTTTAGTAAGGCTTTACTTCCCTCAGGGACCATGGAAAGAGGCAGAGCCAATCTTCTTCTTCGGAGACAATCTTCTTCTTCCTCTATCCATAGGATTCTCCATGCAAGAATACTGGAGTGGGTTGCCATTTCCTTCTCCAGGGGATCTTCCCGACTCAGGGATCAAACCCAGGTCTCCAGCATTGCAGACAGACGCTTTGCCATCTGAGCCTTAATTAATTCTTTGGTATTAATTTTTTAAAACCGTCCAATTTATGTTTCATTAATTTGGAAATACTCTGGAGGAGCCACAATGCAAAATTTGATAATTGTCTTTATTTTTGAATAATCCAACACCTTCTACTGAAACTTTGAACACAAACTGTATCTGATGTCCATCTTTCTAGACTATTGCTGTGCAGTATGTGATGGAAATGAAATGTTCTATATCTGTGCTCTTAGTAACTGCTATTAGCCACATGTGGCTATTTAATATTTAAAATGTTTCTACTGCAACCAAGGAACTGAATTTTTTATTTAATTTTAATAGCTTTACAGTTGACCCTTGAACAACACAGGATATTAATCCACATATAACTTACAGTCAGTACTCCATATCTGTGGTTCCTCGATATCCTTGAATTCAAACAACCACAGACCATGCAGTAGTATAATATTTACTACTGAAAAATACCTGCATATATGTGGACCCTTGTGATTCAAACCCACACTGTTCAAGGGTCAACTGTGAAGAGCTTCATGCGGCTGCTAGCCAACATATTGACCCACACAGTTGTAGAGCTTACTTTAATACTAGATAAAACCAGCTATCATGAACATCTGTTCACCCCAAGTAGAAGTTATCTCTCAACCAGAATGTGTTTTATGATTGGCACCAGGTTTGAAGGACTTGAGCAGAAGAAACAATCTGGGATTCTGAGCATATGTTTTTTACCTTAGTGAAAGTGTTAGTTGCTCAGTTGTGTCTGACTCTGCTACCCCATGGACTGTAGCCCACCAGGCTCCTTCCGTGCATGGGATTCTCCAGGCAAGAATACTGGAGGGGTTGCCATTCCCTTCTCCAGGAGATCTTCCCGACCCAGGGATCAAACCCGAGTCTTCTGCATTGCAGGCAGATTCTTCACAGTCTGAGCCCTTGGAGAAGCATTTATACCCTAACCTATCTTTAAATATTTGAGAAATCAGATCCTGACTGAAATTCAAGCCTGAGTTGACCTATACCTAATGTCTGTTTAAGAAGTATGATTGTGAGAATTCCCTGGTGGTCCAGTGGTTCTGTCTCTGTGCTTCCACTGCAGGGGTCATGGGTTTGATCCTTGATCAGGGAACTAAGATCCCACATGCCACTCAGTGCAGCCAAAAAAGAAGTATAGTTGCTCTGAAAAAGTTGCATTATTTGAACATTCTGTAATTTACATATTCAATATTTTAAAAATTCCTACCATTCATTCATTCATTATCCATCCATCCGTTCTTTCATTTATTTGTAGAATATTTACTAAGTACCTGATATGTATCAGGTGCTGGTTTATATATGAGAAATACAGTGATGAGTAAAACAGATAATTCTTGCTTTCATGTAGATTACATTTCTTTCAATATATACAGCTTCAGTTAAACATATAGCAAATTTAAAAAAATTGTAGTCTTTGTTGCTTGCCATGGGTCTTCTATTAGACCTTGGTATTATATTAAATTAAAATTAAGCTTCCCTGGTAGCTCAGAGGTTAAAGTGTCTGCCTGCAGTGCGGGAGACCTGGGTTTGATCCCTGGGTCCAGAAAATCCCCCAGAGAAGGAAATGGCAACCCACTCCAGTATTCTTGCCTGGAGAATCCCATGCACGGAAGGAGCCTGGTGGGCTACAGTCCACGGGGTCACAAAGAGTCAGACACAACTGAGCAACTTCACTTTCACTTTCTCCCCCCTTTTCACTTTCACTTTCATTATATTAAATATTAAAAATACTCATACATTTTTATATTAGTAATTGCTGTGATGGAAGAGACAAGTGTTTTATGATACACTGTATAGTTAAATGAAGTTTTGAGTGTGGTTTTTAAAATACTAAATTTTAAATTGGAAGGCAGAAAAGTCAAAGGAATGAATTGTGTTCTTTGTGATTTTGTATGTCTTATAATACCTTATGTTTTTAAAGCAATATAATTGCCCCTTGAATCAATGTGAACTTATTGCAGAATGGCTTGGTACTTCATTATTTTTCTTTGCAAGATTATTGATAAAAATATAAAGGAGAGGAGACTTATAAAAACTCTTAGAGTTCTAGATTTGACTTTCGATCTTTTAGATGACACTTTGGTTGTAATGTCATGGTTCTTACTACATTATCATTCAAATTATTTCTTTACCTTTAGAATGGATTTTGCTATCAGTAAACTGAAGAAAACAGGTAATCAGACTGGACTCTATGTACTTCGATGCAGTCCTAAGGACTTTAATAAATATTTTCTGACTTTTGCTGTTGAGGTTAGTATGACACTAATTAATGGTAATATCTTTATTTAGTGAGTATAATTCCCTCTTGATAATATCTACTAGTATCTACTGTATTTCCTCTTTAATGCTGCAAATGATAGCTCTGGATATGATAACTAGCAATTAAGTAAGGTTAATTTACCTCAGGGATTCTTTATAAATAAACAAAATATAATTCCTAGGATTTATATTAAAAATTATTTGTAATATCTTAATATCTTTTTATATGGATTTTTTTGTTTGAGTATTACCAGTATGTCAGATTTCATCACATCTTTTGAAGTCTGTTTTTTCACAGAAATGGAAATCTTTACCAAAACATGTAGAACAAAATAAATCAGAAGTAAACTTTCACTTTACTAGTAATGGTTATAGGATTAGAGTGAAATAGGGTAATAACAAAGAAAAAGACATTGTACTTGGCAAAAACCACTACAATATTGTAAAGTAATTAGCCTCCAACTAATAAAAATAAATGAAAAAAAAAAGACATTGTACTTTTAAGTGGTGGTTTTTCCAGTATTAAGAATAATGATCTACAATGTATGCTTTAAGTGTAATACTATAATGAAATCTCACTGTTAATATGGACCATTTTGGATCTCAACTAAAATTATTTACTGTACAAAATTATATAAAAAGATACTGTCACTTATAAAGCAATTTCATGGTATAAATCTTGAGAAACTTTATAGCTGCCTCCAAAATTTATCATACTTTTAAAAAGTAGAGACTGTAAGAATTGTTATTATTTTAATTTTTATAAAAAAAAATCATTTAACATACATAAAGTGGATTAATTGTCCATGAAAATATAGAAAGTAGGCTGCTCCATGACTTGTAAAATATTGATAGTCTATCCTAATTCAGTCTATTATATTCAATTATCAAATCAAAATGTGTATATTTTTATGTTTACTGTATTTGTCTAGTGTAATATGAGGGCTGTATATTAGGGAGCATATGGTATAAACTTGCTTTAAGAAATTTATCTTTTTGGAAAACAAAAATAAAGTATACCAAAAAATGCTAAATTGAGCATTGTTTATTACACAACATTATGCAGTATAAGCAAATAAGACAATAAGAGAAGGTTTACAATGATTAAAACAGGTCCTTTAGAGTAGGAAGGACCTGAGACTGACCAGAGATGATGATTTTATAAAAAATGGTTGTAAGTAGGTTGAATATGTTTATAGCAGATTGAATATGTTTAAAAATAGATGGATGAGAAGTAAAGCACATAAGACAAACATTGAAAGACTGGATATTATCAGAATTGCCGTATTAGAGATAATTATACAAATACCGTAGTGGCACAGTCAAACAGGTCATCACCTTTGCCTGTGGAATGGGGTAGGTGTTGTTAGGGAGGACCTCACAGAAAAAGTGAAATTAAACTGAGTTTTAAGAATTGAATAAAAGTCCATTGCTCAAAAGGAAAGGATGTACATTCTGCAGAGAGATAGCACTTACAGTTTTCAAGGCATGAAATGGCATGGCATTTGCTTTAAATTTTTTAAGTCACTCAGTATAGTTATAACATGGATTATATGTTGAGAGTGGCAGGAGTTAAGGTTGGAGATGGAGGCAGAAGCCAACTCATGGAAGGCCTTATATGCTAAAATCGTTTTACACTTTGTCTTGTAAATGATGGAAAGCTGTTAAGGATGGTATTATTATTATTGTTTATTATTATGGCTTTCTTCCTTGCCTTTCAATAAAGTAACTCTTAAGCCACATTTATAGGCTAGGCAGTTGTAATTAGATGCCTTTTTGAGGAACCAAACACCTTGGTCACCTTTTGCTGATACTATATTAGGATTCATGGTTCAAATGTCTAAATGTTCTTTTGGTTGTTTTTGTGCTATCCTTTTTGTCACAGTAATCACTATGATGTCCATTGTGATTTTTCCTTCCCTTTCTTTATAATTAAACTTACATAGCGAGAAAATGTTATTGAATATAAGCACTGTTTGATTACAAAAAATGAGAATGGAGAATACAACCTCAGTGGTACTAAGAAGAACTTCAGTAATCTTAAAGATCTTCTGAATTGCTACCAGATGGAAACTGTTCGCTCAGACAGTATAATTTTCCAGTTTACTAAATGCTGTCCCCCAAAGCCAAAAGGTAAAATAGTTTTCTAGTTATTTTTAAAACACTGGTCTTGGGTGTTGTATGTGGTGGGAGATATCTTCAGGATACTGATTTCACAAGAAACAGGAGAGAAAAAGCTCCAGAAACAATGAATTTTTTTCCTCATGTGTTGTACAAGCATCCTCTAATAGAATTTTTCAGTTTGGTTTGGGTTGTCTATAAGTGACTTAAAGTTGTATAATTCTAAAATTTATTTTAATAAATAATAATTTCATAGTATTAATAAGCTACTTATTTATTGAACTGAATGACCTCACAACCAAATTCTCATGTTATTCTGAATAAATACTTTCAGATCCTTTTAGAATCTTAATTTCTTTTAAATTATCTTTTAAAATGAAAATAGTAAGATTAGAAATCTCTTGAGAAAGCAGGCATATTAAAGTTACTGAAAAATTGTACTAGTTAAGAAAATGATTATAATTTTGCATATATTATAATAACTGGCTAGAGTACATCATCAAATTTCAATGAAAAAACTCCTAAAATAGTTTTCTGTGGGGAAAAAAAATTGAACAATAAGAGGCTGTTAAGCATTTCTTTTATATAGGACACATTTTATTTTATTCCTTTGGAGCAATTTATATTCTCACTGTGTTTTGATTATATATGTATATTTTTTGCATTCATTCTATCCTTTTTTTAAACAGACAAATCAAACCTTCTAGTCTTCAGAACCAATGGTATTTCTGATGTACCAACCTCACCAACTTTACAAAGGCATAATAATGTGAACCAAATGGTGTTCCACAAAATTAGAAATGAAGATTTGGTATTTGTAAGTCACTAGATGCTGATTATTGTCTTTTTGTCTTTTTAAAGAACTGTTCTTCATTTTCTATCCCACATTCACATGACATTAGAACTATTTTATTATAACCTATGTTATAAAAATTTTATAGCAGTTCAGATACATTCATTTCCTGTGAAAATGTGATACCAAACTTGAGTTAATTATTTTAAGAATGGAATTGTATTCTCTTTTGAGAAATTTAAAAAAATTAAAAAGTCTTCTTCTGAAAAAGTATCTTAATTCTCAGGTTCTCAAGAAAGTAAGGGAATTTCAAAGAAGGTAATGAAAACAGTAGTAACACATAAGAGCTGATGTTTGGCCACAGGACATTTTGGGACATTAGGATTAGTCTCACTAATCAAGAGAACTAAGAGCTAAAACCAGTANGTCCTGAGTATTCTTTGGAAGGACTGATGTTGAGGCTGAAACTCCAATTCTTTGGCCACCTGATGCGAAGAGCTGACTCATTGGAAAAGACCCTGTTGCTGGGAAAGATTGAGGACAGGAGGAAAAGGGGATGACAGAGAATGAGATGGTTGGATGGCATCACCGACTCAATAGACATGGGTTTGGGTGGACTCGGAGTTGGTGATGGACAGGGAGGCCTGGCGTGCTGTATGGGGTCACAAAGAGTTGGACACGACTGAGCAGCTGAAGTGAACTGAAGCCAATAAATTAAATTAAAATAATAGGTGGTACTCCTTTAGTAACACCCTGTGGTGGTTGTCAAAAGCAAATATAAAATCTTTCTGGACGGATATCCTCTTAATGTAGGCCACCTAAGATTCCCACATTTAAAATGACTCCAAACATGAGCTTTTAGCTGAAAATTTAAAAATTTATGGAGAAGTTCCAGGATTAAGCAAGAATCAGCAGACCAGTAAACATCAAAATTGTATCTAAGAGGTTCATATAACAGACTTTTCAGATACAAACTATAAAATACATGTTTATGTATTTAAACATTAAAAAGGAGTTGAAAACAAGGGGAAAACCCAAGATAGTATCAAAATAGCCCAAAAAGATTTGGGGGAAAAAGTATAGAAATGAAAAATATACTCATTGACATTTAAAAAATGGACAAAGTAAAAAGCAGACTATTCATAGTTGAAGAGAGAACTAGTAAATTGAAAGATCTGAAAATCATTTAAATGCTGCAGATAGGGAGAAAGAAATGAAAATTATGAAAGAGAGCTTAAGGGACATGAAAAGTAGAATGAGAAAGACCAAACTGATGTCTGAATTCCTTAAGGAGACAATAGTTAGAATCATTCAGACTTACAAAGATACGAATCCTATGTGAGTAACAAGAAGCAGGGAGTTACTAGGTAACCTAACACCACGAAACTAATAATAATAGAGTGCCGGCAGCCATGCTTCAGATTGCACGCTTTCAATCATTCTGTAAGGGTGTATAAGAAGCACTAGTAATAGTAGCAATAGCTGGCACTTAATTGAGCATTTACTCTGTTGTGGACTGCACGAAGTGCTATTGTGTATTTTCTCATTTATTGTTCATGGCAGTCCTATGGAAAAATAATCATTATTCCCATTCTTCAGATGAGGAAACCAAGATAACTGCAGTATAGAAAGATTAAATGGCCTGTACAAGGTCACACAACTAGTGAGTAGTAATAAAGAACAGGTCAGACCTGCACTATCAGGAAAGGCTAGCAAGGAAAGAGACTCACATTCAAATAAATGTGGGTAAACACTGACATTATAAAAAGTGTGAAAAGTGATAATTATACCTAATTTAGGGCATTGAAGAACAGGGTGAAGTCAAATTACACTTTGTTCTTTAATCTGTGTTTTCTGTGTTTTATTACTATGAAGAAAGCAGAATATAATTAATATGGAGTCTCAAATCCAGATTTGGTTTGTAAAGGAAATATTTGCTCATGAATTTTTTTTTTTTAACTCTTGTCATTGGACATATTTCCTAATTCCCGCATCATCCTCCATCCTTACTTATTCTTTCCTTTTTTTTTTTTTTATTTTGGTTAAAGAATGAAAGCCTTGGCCAAGGAACTTTTACAAAAATTTTTAAAGGTATAAGAAGAGAAATAGGAGACTATGGTCAGCTGCATGAAACAGAAGTTCTTTTAAAAGTTCTGGATAAAGCACATAGAAACTATTCAGAGGTTTGTATATTCTTTATATAGTTCATGTAGTTTATGATAGTTAAAATATGCTCTCATACATGCAAAATACATCGACGCATGTGGCTTTTCAAATTATAATTTTTAAAAGTATATGTATCAAAGACCTTTCAGAGGATGCATTCTGTTGGGGCTAAAAAATACATAATTTTTTCATTGTAACTAATTTCCAAACTAATTTTTAAGCATGGTGTTACGTGTTTGATTACATCTTTGCATATATAATACTAAGGCAGTTGGTTTTAAAGTTGAATACATGTAAATCCATGGCTAATTCATATCAATGTATGACAAAAACCACTGCAATGTTGTAAAGTAATTAGCCTCCAACTAATAAAAATAAATGAAAAATAAATAAATAAAATAAAGTTGGCTACCCAGAGCTTCCTGGGTTCCACAGTTTTCCTCTGTAATTTAATCTACTTTTTAAAAACTTTGAAAGGCAGTGTACTGAGGAACACTGTGTAGGTGAAATGTGGATGGATATCTCTGGGCATCATCTTAAGATGCTAGCCACCAGAAATCCTGCTGCCAGTTTCCAGAGTCCTAAGCATAGTAAGATATCACCAAACGTGATGTAACACACATTTATGAACTTAAAATGTCTTAAAAGAAGTTAGTAGAAGATAATGTGAAACATACAAGCCAAAGAGTTGTTCTAATCCAGAACTCCAAAGTGTTGGTGATTGTGATCTTCAACAACCATACCCCAAAGTTCTAGGCAAAGTTTAGTTGAGTTAGGGTGATATTACCTGCCAGTCTCCTGACATAGGTGTTAGACTGTTTTATATGCCGAGTCATCATTCTTAATTCTTTAGGAAGTGTTAATTGAAGCTCCCATCCATATTTACTGCAGTTACACATCACTGTCTCTGCTGTATGCAGCTATATGTATCTCTGTTCTCCACTCTGGCTGCTATAGGTCTAAGACTGTTTATCTTGCATCATTCACATTGCCCTATATCACAATTGCTCTTTCTCATTGCTGTTTCCTTAAACTAAGCTTAAATCAGGGGTTTCCTTGAGAATGAACTCTAACATCAAGGTTGATGGAAGTTGCAAGTCTAAAGGGACCAAAGCACACTGTAGTCTTGTCTGTAGTCCTGAGAACAGAAGTGCATTTTTCTAATGGCAGAGTATCTTTCTGAACTGTGAATGCTTATAGACATAAAAGGTGATTCTTTTGCAATTTTTAATTTTTTTTTTTCTTTTCCTTAGTCTTTTTTTGAAGCAGCAAGCATGATGAGCCAGCTTTCTCACAAACATCTGATTTTAAATTATGGAGTATGTGTCTGTGGAGAGGAGAGTAAGTAAAACCACCAGCTTCCTTTCTATTAATGTTATGTCTTTCAAAACATCCATTTTTATTTATATAGAAAATTTAATTTTAGGATCATAGTTGGATATCAGTATATAACAAATTAAATATTGTTGAAACATGAAACACTGTATTTCTTTTTTTTTTTTTAATTGATATTTCCCATGCTTTTTCATTTAGGGGAAAAGGAGAATATACTTCCTTACAAAGTTTGAAAACAGTGTTTTGTTTTAGAGCATAAATCCCAGTTCTTTTGGTTTTATACTTATTTCATTGACTCTGTGATGCATTTTTTTTCACATTAAAAGTATCTGAATATGATATAATTGATGGTATTTCATAATTGATAATTTAAAATTTTTTTCAGTCCATAATAATGGAACATATGACAGTCAGTGGCATCTATGAAATATACATGTTAGTCTTTGTGTACCACATAAAAAAGTTTTACTAAGCTCTTGCTCGTTGAAACTCCAAGATCTTTTTTTTAATACTAATGTAAATTTCTCTGCAGTAAATTCTTCATTACTGATGTATGGATTATTCTCCAAATTAACCATGGCAGCAAAACATTCGTAACATTTGTTTTAGTCACCCAGCAAGATCCAAAGGTGACTTTTGTCACCAAAAATTGTATATACATATGAAAACTAATTTTAATATTAGTTGAAGCAGAGTCATGATTTGAGATTCATTCTATATATGGTTTGAGATTCATTCTATATATGATATTGTGTTTATATATAATTATTTAGACTTCCACCTCTTAGTGTTGTGAATAAACTAAAACCCCAAAATACAGTGGTATATACCTGTTATGCTTTCTTTAAATTATTGAATTTCATGTAATTTAATCTCTTTACCTATAATACATATAACTATAAATATATTTATAAAAGTTTAAGTTTATGTATTTTTATGTATTATACTTTAGCCTTATTATTATTATATTTTAATGCAGATATTCTGGTTCAGGAATTTGTAAAATTTGGATCACTAGATACATATCTGAAAAAGAATAAAAATTCTATAAATATATTATGGAAACTTGAAGTGGCTAAACAGTTGGCATGGGCCATGCATTTTCTAGTAAGTAATATATTCTTTTGTCAACTTACTGTTTTACATTATGAAGCAGTATGAAAGGATCTTGACCTGGGAACAAGAAATAAGTCTATAGATGCTGAGTTATTTAAAATAATCTGTGTCATTTGAGGAAAGGGATTATTTTAGGTGTATATTTATGTGAAATAAATTTTGAAACAAGTGGTATTCCCATTCCATCAATCTCTTAGAACTGCTGAAGGATAATCTGTAGTTTGTGTACCTTGACTTTAAAGAATTGAATGAAATATTATCAAAAAGAAAATGAGCTATGGACAGCAGAAAAATCCTGTAGAAAGTGCCTTGTTACGATATTTGTGGGTAAATGGAAATTTTGTCCACTGAGAAAGTAATATTGCCAGAAAAGCAAAATACTAGAGGGCCAGCCAGTGATCAGATTCTTTAGAGTGCACCTACTGAACAGAAACAATATTTCTTGTGTCAGCTGCTATCTACAAATACATACAGTTTAAAACCTCAGATTCATAAGTGAACTAGCATAAAGTAGTTTTAAAAAATATTAATTTTTCGGCGACTTCCCTGGCAGTCCAGTGGTTAAGACTTTATACTTCCAAGCAGTGGATACAGGTCCAATCTCTGGTCAGGGCACTAAGATCCCATATGCTGCTGAGTGTGGCAAAAAATAAATTAATAATCAAATAAAACAGCCTATAAAAATGATAAAACTAAGTATTTGTTTCATCATGGGTATAGATTATTATTTTGTTTAAAATGTAAAATAGGAAGCACAGTGCTGCTATAAGATTTCCTTTTATTTTCTCAAAGTGTACCTCCAAATTAATGTTTACTTAATTTTTGTTTTTTAAATCCATTTGGGGGCCCTGGATATACTAAGTGCTCAAATATTTGTGGATTAATATTTGAATGTTTATGCAATTAACTTTAATAGGAAGAAAAAACCCTTATTCATGGGAATGTGTGCGCCAAAAATATTCTTCTTATCAGAGAAGAAGACAGGAAGACAGGAAATCCTCCTTTCATCAAACTTAGTGATCCTGGCATTAGTATTACAGTTTTGCCAAAAGACAGTAAGTTCTACAAGAATCAAGTTTAACTTTATTAAGCTTTGCTTGGAAAGAGGCATAAAAATCATGCTGTTAATTTTTCTCAAGCACTATTTTATTGACATATTCTTGCTTAATAATAAAATTTAGTTACCATTTTCAGCAACCTAAATTATAGTTACATCTTAGATTCTTGTCTGTTTCTCCTTTCTTATGTTTCCATGAACTGTAAAGTGATTTTTTGAAGCAGTTTTAATCCCTAATTAAGTATGAAATGTCAGGTTTTATCCAATTTTATTGTGGAATTTTTTTAATATCATTCTTTGAATCACAAGTAAATTTTCTAAATTTTTATTCTCTTTAGTTATTAAATAAAAATTTGAGAAGAAATATTTCTAGTTTAAAATTTTTATTTTGTTTAATTTTTCAGCTAATTGACTTCTTGAATTCAGCTATATATTGACTTCTTAAATTCAGACATATTCAGCTATGACTTCTTAAAACTTTTCTTTTGTGTTGATAACATCCTTAACAAAGTAAAAATTTCAGTCAGAGGAGGTTTTTTTTTTTTTTTGGCCCAAATAGTGTTGTTATTGTGTTTTATTGAATTAGCTAATTTCTCGAATTGAATGCTCTACATTTTGAGTCCAAATTTATCAACTTTTGTACGTTGATGCATAGTTTCTTTTTTGAGCTAATAGTAGTTGAGCTCTGTACCTTTATATGACAGTGAGGACAGGGACTATAGGGCAGAAAATATTATAGGAATTTAGATCTGATACTTGGGGATTTTACCCTTTGGAGTAGAACATGAAGAAAGAGAATATATATTCGTATGAAGGAGATAGGACTCTGTACTGTTAAATCTCTTAATTATGCACCAGAAATATTCACATTGCTTTACCAAAATATACCAAAAGATGCAACAGTTTATCATTCTTATTTATTTATTTACTTATTTACGTACCTGTTTACTTATATATATCTATCTTCTATCATTCTGTCTATGCCAGAATACCAGAAGGTAAAGTTAAAGTGTTCCCTCCTTTTGTGAATACCATTTTTCGGATGGGATCAAAGACATCAAAAAATTAACTTGGAAGATTCCATGGTCTGAGCAGAACCTGTGTATATCAATATTGTGCTAAGAATACCTTGGTATAATCTAATCATTCATTGGCCTGTTGGCCCTTGTTTTTCATCTGCAAGTTAGAGTGGTCACTGCTGTTGAGTCATTCGTACAGATTGAACTGATGCTAACATTACCTTTATTATTTATACATTGTAAAGAAAAAATATATAAAGGAGCAATTTGGGAAAAATTTTGTGGGAAAAAAAATATTGTGAATGCATAGCTATTAGGAAAGGGTAGAGAGAATGGGGCAGTAGTTGAAACACTGTGGTTTAATGAAAAATTTAGTCATTCCAGGAGTCATTGTACAGTAACTAATTCTGTGTATAATTGTATAACTTCGGGCAAATTATTCAGTCACTATGGGTCTTAATGTTGGCATTGTTAAAGCTGAGATATTGAATTAGGTGATCTCAAAGGTCCCTTCTGGCCCTCAAGCATGTGTATATGCATGAACATACCCCTTCCCCCAAGCAAATTAAAATGATTTGATTATTCCAATTTGTGTGAAATTATTAACATATATAAGAATTGTTTTATTAAGGGAGTTATTTAAGCTTTTTTTTTTTTTTTACTGTCATTTAAAAGTCCTGCAGGAGAGAATACCATGGGTACCACCTGAATGCATTGAAAATCCTAAAAATCTAAACCTGGCAACAGACAAATGGAGTTTTGGTACCACATTGTGGGAAATCTGTAGTGGAGGAGATAAGCCTCTGAGTGCTTTGGATTCTCAAAGAGTAAGTTTATATAAACAGTGAAGTTGTAATTATTTTGTGATCCCTAATACTTCTTTCACATTATTTGATATTCTTTAGCCCATTTTATGTTAAAAAGAAGGTTGATACGGCATTTATAATCTATTCTCAACATGTGGTTCTTTCATTATAGAAACTACAGTTTTATGAAGATAGGCACCAGCTTCCTGCACCAAAGTGGACAGAATTAGCAAATCTTATTAATAATTGCATGGATTATGAACCAGATTTTAGACCTTCTTTCAGAGCCATTATAAGAGATCTTAATAGTTTGTTTACTCCAGGTATGTACTGTTGGAGCAATCTTAATGATGTATTTAATAAATCCTTACTAATTTTGTAGTCCCCCTCTGGGAAGTTCCCTGATATCTTTTAGACCATTTTAATTTCTTACATTCATATGACTTTTTCTACCTTATACGTAGTCTAGTCTCATTGATTGTGAAGTATTTTCATAAAAGGCTTTTACCCTTGTAATAACCTCACTTTAGTTGCCAGTTAATGAGTAGTACGCTGAGAAACTTATTTGATTTTTTATAAACAATTCATTGTTTTTTAAACTAGCTCTCACATATCGCTGATTAATTTTCTAAACATGAAGTAGATTTTTGTTTGTCCTCTCCTTCTTAAAAAACTTAGCTAAATATACATGTGTCTGACCCATAAATATTTTCTGTTCCAAAACTACTTGCTGTTCTTGTCACAAAAATCGGCATACAAGCTTACTTTATAAATATTAAAACTGCTTATTTTGGAAAGTGTTCATTTATCCTTTGCAAAAATCTTTACCAAAAACCTGTCCAGTTATGATTCAAGGCTTCCATTAACAATCTAAGCATTCAGAGTTGCCTTGTATCAATTTGTATTTAGTGTTTCTAACTCATTATGATTATTTTGGTCAGCCTGAATAAGAATAATTTTAACCCAGAGAATAGATTTGCCAGATTATGATAGAAATGTTATTTATTTCTCCAGATTATGAGCTATTAACAGAAAATGACATGTTACCAAATATGAGAATAGGTGCCCTAGGGTTTTCTGGTGCTTTTGAAGACCGAGACCCTACACAATTTGAAGAAAGACACTTGAAATTTCTACAGCAACTTGGCAAGGTAAGGTGTCAGATTTTTAAATAATTGAAGTGTATCATAAAACATTTTATTTAGGGGAGAAAAGACTTAAGAGATTCTCTAAAGTTCACTTTCCACAGAGTTTTAGAGTGTTTGTATAACCAGCAAGTACCTACTATATAACACAAGAAACTTGGCTCAATATTTTATAACAACCTAAATGAGAAAAGAATTTGAAAAAAGAACAGATACGTGTATATGTGTAACTGAATCACTTTGCTCTACACCTAAAACTAGCACAGCATTATTAATCAACTATACTTCAATATAAAATAAAAAGTTTTTTAAAAGGTGTTTGTAGAAAAAAGGTTTAGTTTTCAGGTTTTTGGGAAATGCTGTGTTAAATAGTTGTCTTTACTGAAAAATTTGTTGGAACCTTTAACAGGCACTGTGCATTGAACATTTTCAAGAGGAGGATAAATTAAGCTATATTTTTCCCAATTAATTTGACCATGAGATTCTTTCTTGGTAGAGCGCACTTTATGAGATAGAGAAAAGAACAATTAATAAGCCTTTCCACCTGCCTCCCTTTTTAGTCACCTAAGGGAGAAATAATTAATCTGCTTGCTCATTCAGAGTTTAGATGTTGACTGGAGAAGGCATGTTTACTAGCAGACAGTTTCTCTCTGCTGAAAGGTCACACAGTCAGGCATAGCCCACATATTAGGCTGGTAAAAAAGTTATTGTAGTTTCAGACCGTGAATTTGAAGCCATTATAACTAGGCTCAAACACATCTTTATTAATCAAAAAAGGAACCATTACAATCAGCACATTTTTGCCAATGAGAAATAAGTTTGTTTATTCCTATAGCATAAAAATCTGTGCTTCAGGATTCGACTGACTTTTTGGAATGCATTTTCCCTGCAAAAAATTGTTGAGATGCTTAAAGAAGTGGTAGTCAGTTGGTGAGATGTCAGCTGAATATGGAGAATGAGGCAGAACTTTGTAGCACGATTCATTCAACTTTTCAAGCATTTGTTGTGTGCGGTTGAGTGTCGTCATGGAAAAGAATTGGGCTGTTTCTGTTGACTAGTGCTGGCTTCAAGCACTGCAGTTTTAGGTGCATCTCATCAATTTGCTGGGCATACTTCTCAGATGGAGTGGTTTTGCCAGGGTTCAGAAAACTATAGTGGATCAGACAGGCAGCAGATCACCAAACAGTGATCATGACCTTTTTTGTCAAAACCTTTTGCCAAACCTCCCAAAGTTTGGCTTTGGGAAGTGCTTTGGAGCTTCTTCTCAGTCCCGCCACTGAGCTAGTTGTCACTGGTTGTATAGAATACACTTTTCATTGCATGTCACAATCAGATGGAGAAATGGTTCATTGTAGCATAGAATAAGAGAAGACAACACTTCACAACGATGATTTTTTTGATTTGTGGTTAGCTCATGAGGCACCCAGCTTTTTCACCTTTCCAGTTTGCCTCAAATGTTGAATGACCATAGCATGTTCTTTGGCAACTTTTTGTGTAGTTGTAAGAGGATCAGCTTTGATGATCCTCTGAATTGGTCGTTGTCAACTTCCGATGGCCAGCCACTGTGCTCCTCATTGTTCAAGACTCTCAACTCCTTTGCAAAACTTCTTGAACCACCACTGCACTGTACATTTGTTAGCAGTTCCTGGGCCAAATGCATTGTTGATGTTGAGAATTGTCTACTCTGCATTATGACCCATTTTGAATTGCTCAAATTCGTTTTTTGTCTAACATCATTTCCCTAGTCTAAAATATAAAATAAACAGCAAGTAATAAGTCATTAGCAAAATGCCATAAAGTGAGAAATGTGCATTAAAATGATGTGTAACATAATCACATTGGTTTAAGAATGTATTCCAGTATCAAACAGCAGAGTTCAATGCAAAACCACAGTTACTTTTGCACCAACCTATATTTTAAATGAGATAGAAAAGGCTTACTTCTTAGTTGGTCCAGTCATAGTGGTAAGCCCTCATTCTTCCTCTAAGCTGGGTAGTATAGGGTTCTGTACCATGTGGCCTTATGAACTGGATTTTTGGCATGGATGCAATGTGAAGGCCTCATGTAGGCATTGAATCTACACTAAATGTTCTGATCCAGTTTTACCAGAGCTAAACATTGGGGGTTATATTATACATTGGCTTAGTTTTATTAATACTTTGATGTCATCTTTTGTAAAATATTCTTGAGAATGTTTCAGAGAGTGTAGCAATGACAAAAAAAAAAAGTCTAGGTATTTGGTATATTCATTATCTCTTGCTGTTCAACAAATTACCCTAAAACTTAACAGCTGAAAAAAAACAAACAACATTTATTAGGTGAGTCAGGAATCTAGGAGCAACTTAGCTGGATGATTCTAGCACAGGGTCTCTCAAAAGACTGCAACCAAGCTGTCAGCCATGTCTTGCAGTTTCATTTGAAAGCTTAACTAGGGAAAGACTTATTTTCAAGCTTGTCACATGGCTATTGATGGGCCTCAGAATATCTGCTTGCTAGCTCACTTACATGGGCCTCTCCACAGGCTGCCTCACAACATGGGCGCTGAGAGCAAACACCCAGGATCAAAGCCATAGTCTTTTTATAGCCTTGGCTCAGGCGTGGCATCTTCTTACTCTTGCCATATTCTGTTCACTGTCAGTTCAGTTCAGTTGCTCAGTCGTGTCCAACTCTATGTGACCCCATGGACTGCAGCACTCCAGGCTTCCCTGTCCATCACCAACTCCCAGAGCTTGCTCAAACTCATGTCCATTGAGTCGGTGATGCCATCTAACCATCTCATCCTCTGTCGTCCCCTTCTCCTCCTGCCTTCAGTCTTTCACTCTCTTTCACTTTCAGTCAATGTTCACTATAACTGAGTTTATAGCCTACACTCAAAGGAAGGGGATTTTAAAAGAGCTTGAATATCAGAATGTAGAGAATATTGGGAGATAATCACAGAAGCTACCAATGACACAGCATGACCTTGGCTTAAGCAGCAGACATTTTTTTCTCAAAGTTCTCGAGATAAGTCTTAAGATGAAGGTTCCAGTAGGGTTTGGTTTTCTGGTGAAGACTCTGCTTAGCTTGCTACCTGGCACCTTTCTCACTATGTCCTCATGTGGCAGAGAGCACTGGTATCTCTTCTTCTTGTAATGGCATTAGTCTTACAGGATGAAGGCCTCACTCTTATGACCTTATTTAACCTTTATTACCTCTTCAGAGGCCCTGTCTCCAAAAGCACTCACCCTGGGGTTAGGGCTTTATCATACAAATTTGAGGGGATGGGGCATGGACATTCAGTCCATAACAGACCCTTATTCCATGAAGCTCACTGACAGGGATATCAAAGTCTATATTGTGAAAAAGAAAAGCTCTTCCTGGAAGTTAGTGACAGAAATTTAGAAATTCCTTGGCATGTCCTTTGGCTTATCTTAAAAAATAATGTTTATGATCTATATAATCAGAATTAGTAATTTTTCTAGAAAACTTGAGATTTCTATCTTAATGTGATATGTGTTGTTTAAGGGTAATTTTGGGAGTGTGGAGATGTGCCGGTATGACCCTCTACAAGACAATACTGGGGAGGTGGTGGCTGTGAAAAAGCTCCAGCACAGTACTGAAGAGCACCTCAGAGACTTCGAAAGAGAAATTGAAATCCTTAAATCCTTGCAGCATGACAACATTGTAAAGTACAAAGGAGTCTGCTATAGTGCTGGTATGTTGCCCATTGATACTTTTTTTGAACTTAGGATATGTCTTTGGCATACTGGGTAATAGAAACATATGATGTCTCAAGATCTGGACTAAAATATTCCAGTGTCCAGAGAAGGAAGCATTCTGTATGGCTGGAGATTGTGTTTGGTGTTGGTAGGCTGTGACTATAGGAAATCTTTGATTACTTGGCTGATTATTCTTTTCACTGAGGATGTTGTTTGCCATTTTTGCTTTAGTGTACCAAGGGAATATCATTTCTAAAGAAAGAAATTGTTCATATTTTCTATGAAAATATTATTTTTTAATTAGATCCTTTTTATTCAGTATAGAAGAAGAGAAAGTAAGTTTTTGCATCAGCTTATTTTGATTTGCATAAATGGTTACAGGAGATTAAAGCATAAGTATTTCTAAAACTTTCTGTTCAGACCATTTTGAATCAGAAAGTTAGTGTTCCTAACTACCACATGACTTTTAATTTATAATCAGGTTTTGTCATCTTAGACTCAGATTTTATATCTCTTTAGGTCATTCATATACAGTTGTCTTATATTAGTTCATCAATAAAACATGGCAGAATAAAACATTACGTTCTCATTTGTGTGTTAATAGGCCGGCATAATCTAAGATTAATTATGGAGTATTTACCATATGGAAGTTTACGAGACTATCTCCAAAAACATAAAGAACGGATAGATCATAAAAAACTTCTGCAGTACACATCTCAGATATGCAAGGTACCTGATATCCTGGCTATTTGTTGTAAATGAAGAGTTTGTGCTTAGTTGCTCAGTCATGTCTGACTCTTTTGCAATCCCATGGACTATAGCCCGCCAGACTCCTTTGTTCATGGGTTTCTCTAGGCAAGAATATTGGAGTGGGTAGCCATTCCCTTCTCCAGGGGATCTTCCTGACCCAAGGATCAAACCTAGGTCTCCTGTATCACAGGTGGATTCTTTACCATCTGAGCTACCAGGGAAGCCCAAATAAAGAGAATACGTTGAAGTAATTATTAAGAAATAATTTTTTCTATTTTCTCTAGAATTTTCCTTAAATACTTAAGGGAGTAGGTAAGCAGAAGCCTAAATTGTTTATGTTTATAAAGCTGGCTGAAAGAAAACTGTTATTTTATCCATAGGGTATGGAGTATCTTGGTACAAAAAGGTATATCCACAGGGATCTGGCAACAAGGAATATACTAGTGGAGAATGAAAACAGAGTTAAAATAGGAGATTTTGGATTAACCAAAGTCTTGCCACAAGACAAAGAGTACTACAAAGTGAAAGAGCCTGGTGAAAGTCCCATATTCTGGTGAGTATGTTTTAGTACCATAAAATGAAGTTTTGGAGCACAGACTTCAAACTTTATTTTTATTTTTAGTAGTTTGTCACTTGTATATTTATAACAATAATCAATGAAGTTACTCCCTATGTTTTCCTCTGGGAATTTTATGGTTTTAGGTCAAACATTCAAGTTTTTAATCTGTTTTGATGTTAATTGTCAATAAGGTAATGGTCTAATTTCATTCTTTTCCATGTATCTGCCCAGTTTTCTCAACACCGTTTATTGAAGAACTCTCCTTTTCGCCATGCTACCTCCAGCTTTGTTCTTTATCAAGGTTGTTCCCTTTCTCAAAGGATCTTTTGTAGTTTCATACAAATTTTAGAATTTTTTCTAGTTCTGTGAAATATGCCATTGGAATTTTGATAAGAATTGCATTAGATCTGTAGATTGCTTTGAGTGCTGTTGTTGTTGTTCAGTAGCCACGTTGTGTCTGACTCTTTGCGACCCCGTGGACTGTAGCACACCAGGTCTCCCTGTCCTTCACCACCTCCCGGAGTTTGCCCAAGTTCATGTCGATTGTATTGGTGACGCCATCCATCTGTCTCCTCCTCTGATGCCCTCTTCTCCTTCTGCCCTCAATCTTTCCGAGCTTCAGGGACTTTTCCAATGAGTCAGCTGTTTGCATCAGGTGACCAAAATACTGGAGCTTCAGCTTCAGCCTCAGTCCTTCCAGTGAGTATTCAGAGTTGATTGACTGATTTTGATCCCTCTGCTTTAAGATTGACTGGTTTGGTCTCCTTGCTGTCCACCGGACTCTCAAAAGAGTCTTCTCCAGCACCACAGTTTGAAAGCATCAGTTCTTTGGCACTCTGCCTTCCTTATGGTCCAGTTCTCACATCCATACATGACTACTGGAAAGACCATAGCCTTGACTATACGGACCTTAGTCAGCAAACCGATGTCCTTCCTTTTTAATGTACTGTCTAGGTTTGTTATAGCTTTCTTCCAAGAAGCAAGCATCTTCTAATTTTGTGGCTGCAATCACCATCCACAGTGATATGAGAGCCCAAGAAGAGGAAATCTGTCACTGCTTCCACCTTTTCCCCTTCTCTATTTGCCATGAAGTGATGGGATCAGATGCTGTGCTCTTGGTTTTGTAATATTGAGTTTTAAACCAGCTTTTTCATTCTCCTCTTTAGAGGTTCTTTAGTTCCTCTTTGCTTTCTGCCACTAAAATGGTATCATCTGCATATCTGAAGTTATTTCTCCCGGCAGTCTTGATTACAGCTTGTAACTCATCCAGCCCAGCATATCGCATAATGTGCTCTGTGTATAAGTTAAGTAAACAGGGTGACAGTAAAACAGCCTTTACATACTCGTCTCTCAATTTTGAACCAGTCAGTTGTTCCATATAAGGTTCTAGCTGATGCTTCTTGACTGGCATACATGTTTCTCAGGAGACAGGTAAGGTGGTCTGGTATTATCATCTTTTTAAGAATTTTCCAGTTTTTTTGTGATCCACACTGTCACAGACTTTAGCATAGTCAGTGAAACAGGTAGATATTTTTCTGGAATTGCCTTGCTTTCTCTTTGATCCAGTGAATGTTGGCAACTTGATCTCCAAGTTGTTCTCCAACTTGATCTCCTGCTTGTTCTTGCTTGAACATCTGGAAGTTCTCGGTTCATGTAGTGCTGAAGCCTAGCTTAGGGGATTTTGAGCATAACCTTACTAGCATGGGAAATGAGTGCAATTGTCTGGTAGTTTGAGCATTCTTTAGTACTCCGCTTCTTGGGAATTGGGATGAAGATCAACTTTTTCCTGTCCTGTGGCCACTGCTGAGTTTTTCAAACTTGCTGACATATTGAGTGCAGCACTTTAATAGTTTTCTAGGTTGGTCATAGCTTTTCTTCCAAAGAGCAAGCATCTTTTAATACCATGGCTGCAGTCACCATCCAGTGATCTTGGAGCCTAAGAAAATAAAATCTGTCACTGTTTCCATTGTTTTACCATCTATTTGCCATGAAGTGATGGGATCAGATGTCATGATCTTAGTTTTTTGAATGTTGAGTTTTAAGCCACCTTCATCAAGAGGCTCTTGAGTTCACTTTCTGCCATTTTCAGTCTTTATTTCTGCCCTCATCTTTGTTATTTTCTTCCTTCTAATAACTTTGGGCTTTGATCTTTTTCTGGTTACTTTAGGTGTAAATTCAGATTATTTGTGAGATTTTTCTTGTTTCTTGAGGTAGGCCTGTATTGTGAGCTTCCTTTCTAGAACTACTTTTGGTGCATTCAGTAGATTCTGGTGTGCTTTATTTCTGTTTTCATTTGTCTTTGGATTTTATTTTTCTCTTTTGATTTCTTCATTGACCTATTAGTTGTTTAGTAGCATGTTGTTTATTTTTTAAACTTTATGTTTATTATTTTTGGCTGCACTGGATCTTTGTTGCTATGCGCCGGCTTTCTCTAGTTGTGGCTAGCAGGGGCTGTTTTCTAACTGCAGAGCCCTGGCTTCTATAGTGGTGGCTTCTCTTGCTGGCTAGCACGGGCTCTCGGGTGTGCAGGCTGCAGTAGCTCTCCACGGCTCGGCAGCTGCAGCTGGTCGGCGGCAGAGCGCAGATCCAGAGCTGTGGCACATGGGCCCAGTTGTCCCGTGGCGGAGGCAGCCTTCCCAGACGGGGAGCTGAGCCAGGGTCGCTGTATTGCAAGGTGGATTCTTAACACGGGACCACCAGGGAAGCCCCGGCATATTGTTTAATCTTCACATTTTGTGGTGTTCCAATTTTCTTATTGTGATCTCTAATTTCATACCATTATAGTTGGAAAAGATGCTTGATATGATTTCAGTCTTCTTGAATTATTAAGACAACTTGTGGCTTAATATGTGATCTATCTTGGAATGTTCCATGTGCAGCTTAGAAGAATGAGTATCCTGTACATACCTTTGAACTCCATCTCATCTAATATGTCATTTAAGGCCAGCTGTTTCCTTATTAATTTTTCTGTGAATTATCTATCCACTGCTGTAAGTGGGGTGCTAAAGTCCCCTACTGTTGTTATTGTATTGCTTTTAATTTCTCCCTTTAGGTCTGATAATATTTGCTTTATATATTTTGGTGCTCCTATATATGTATAAATGTGTATTTATAAATATATTTTTTCCTTCCATCTAGTCTGTGTGTGTTTTTACCTCTGAAATGAATCTCTTTTATGTATACATAGATAGATACACACATGATGGAACTGTATGTACATACACATACAGTGGAATACTACTTAGCCTTAAAAGAAATGAAATTTTGTCATTTGTAACAACATGGGTGAACTTAGAGGGTCAGACAGAGAAAGATAAATACTGTATGATATCACTTATATTTGGAATCAAAAATACAACAAACTAGTGAATATAACAAAAAAAGAAGCAGACTCACAGATAGAGTAAACTAGTGGTTACAAGTAGGAAGGGGCATTATGGGGGTGGCCAAATGGGAGGTACAAACTACTGGATGTAAGATAGGGTACAGGGATGTATTTGTTCAACATGGAGAATATAGCTAATATTTTGTAAATGGTATATAACCTTTAAAAATCATATAAAAGTTTTCTAAAAATCAGGTGCAAAAAAGGTGTATTAAACCAACATTAAAGAAACAACAATGTAAAACATACTACTCTAAATACAAAATTTGTTGTTTTGGAAAATAGTTATTTTTNTTTTCTAAAAATCAGGTGCAAAAAAGGTGTATTAAACCAACATTAAAGAAACAACAATGTAAAACATACTACTCTAAATACAAAATTTGTTGTTTTGGAAAATAGTTATTTTTTATAAAAATATTATTTATGCTAGTATTACTGGGTTTATTGTTATTTTTAGTGATACTTTTACGTCTCCTTGGTTTCGAAATCTAATATGGTAAATATTAGTAGATACAACCCACATAAACAAAAGCTTTGGGGGCACGTCCGTAATTTTTTAGTGTATCAGGGACTTCACACCAGAACTGGAGGTAGAGCAGGTACATTATATTAAGGAGAGGCTAACAGCAGAGAGGACTAGTTAGACAACTTTTTCAGGTATCTAGGTCATTGATTTTGAAACCCTTTGTGCATATACACTCATTTGAAAGAATTATCAAAAACTGTATTCTTTATGAAACATTTAAAAATTTTATTTGGTTGTAAATATTTTGTAAAGTATTATAAATAATGACATTAATACAAGACATATCAATCCTTTAGAGGTATACAGTAAAATCCAAATGCCACAGCAACTTGATACCGATTGTCACCCACTTAAAAAGGTATAGGAAGAGACTTTCTTCTTGATAGAAACTTTTTGTTATTCCTTTTTCTCTTTAAAATTATGTTTACACCTCCCTTCTCAGAATTCTGCATAATGTATTTTATTTTGCACTTGGAATATATCTTGATAATCTCCTTTGTAACCAAAATACATATATAAATTGAATTAATTTTAAAATTCCTGTGACCACCAAACTTTTCATTTTTTTTCTTCTGGATTGAATTATCATTGCAGTTACTGCCAGGGTGCAATTTACAATGCAATATAAATGAATTATTAATTTAGATTAGTAATTTGAATAGTTCTTTAAAAATTTTTATTGCAATCATTTCTTAATGAGATATTGAGGTTTTTTTTCCCCTCTCCAACTAGTCCATATAGCCTTAGATAAATATTATTTACTTGTATAACAGGACCAGATTCAACGTAAATTCCAAGTTTATTTTTGTTTTTGTAAACACAGAGAAAACTTTTTTGTACAAATGAGATGGGAATGGAAGGAGTTTTGTTATAAACAATGTCATTTACGTTTGTGACTTGTGATAAGCAAAACAGTATACAGTGATCTACCAATAGAATTTGTTAACTGGCAGTTTCATTAGATCTATTCTGTTTTCAGTTTCATAGAAAACAAAGAATTAAACCCACTTGATTTTCAAAAGTGGATTTACTACCCAGTCATTAGGGTCTTTCATTTTCTTAGTTTCCGGGAAATATGCCAAAAAAATTTTTTCAAATTAATTCAAACCATGGTATTACTCTCATGTAGAGGCATCTTGTATATACATTTATAAAAGTTAAAAAACAATATTATTAATTTCAATACAGTATTTTAAATAACATTTTATCATTTTTAAATACATGATTTAAATATGACAATCCCTTGCACTATCTCAAAGATTGAGTCACTTAATGAAGAATGTCCTTCATTCAGTCTGTTTAGCAATAAATACCAGTCCTCATAAACAAATACACTTATTTTCTGACAGAAAAAACCTTAGTTCATTTTTCAGTTCAAGTAATTAATGTTATGAAATACTCTTTTTAAAAAAATCATAAACTATAGAACACATGTGCAGAGAGACATGTTTACAATGAAGCTAACAAAGCATATATGTCAGAGTTCCTTCCTTTTGAGATTCTTTCTTTTCTAATTTTAAATATTCACTTTCATACATAACTTTATATTCTTATCATAAAGAAAGCCCCTAAAGCTTTGGGCCCTGTATTTCTTCCTGAATATCTGGAAAGATTAATCACAAAGGAAGTCAGGATAAGCTTTTGTGCGTGCATGCATGCTAAGTCGCTTCAGTTGTGTCCGACTCTCTGCAACCTCATGGACTGTAGCCTTCCTGTCCAGAGGAGGACTGCAGGCTCCTCTGTCTGTGGGATTCTCCAGGTGAGGATAGTGGAGTGGGTTGCCGTGCCCTCCTCCAGGGCAGGATAAGCTTAAGATGATATATATTTAGTAAAAAATTTCATTATTAAATAGTTAAGATAAATTGCTTCTCATTACTTAACTATACAATACATAGTACAGAATAAAATATAGTTAAGATTATGTTTTATGAAGTAAGGCATATGGTAAAAGGCCTGTTACTCCTTCAGTAAATAAATGTTTTAGGGAAATTGAACTCTGATATTTGACTTTGGGCTGCTCAGTCGTGTCAACTCTTTGCAACCCGTAGACTGTAATTCACCAGGGATTTTCCAGGCAAGAATACTGCAGTGAGTTTCCATTTCCTTCTCGAGCATATCTTCCCCACCCAGTGATCCAGCCCATGTCTCTTGCATCTCCTGCATTGATAGGTGGATTTACCACCTGGGAAGCCTGATGTTTGACTTTGGGGATTCACTAATAAGAAGGTTGTATAAAAATCAGAAACCATATCATTGTCATCATGATCAAAATTTTATGTATTTAATGAAAAAGAAAGCTATATACTTCTAGAAACAAATCAGATAGTTAGCATATTGTTTTATTTTCATAGTAGTAAGTAAAAATACTAAGTGTTTTATATAAGTAAATGAGGTCAACTAATTTTTATATAAATATTTCAGAAGGAGTTGATAGAATATATTTTAACTGACTTATTGAAAAGCAAACACTACATGTAAAGTTTGAAAGAAATCATAATTTTTATCCATAGGATTTAGCCACCATATTTTTTAAAATATGTAATTTCATTTAAAAGAATCATTGTCATCTACATTGCTTTTATTGTTCAAAAGTGTTGTTTAGCTTCCAGCTTGCCCTGTAGGTTCTTCTTTGTATTAAGAACTAAGAGAAAATGCTTCTGCTAACATTTTTTTTTTTAATTATTAAAGCATGGTTTTGAATTAATGGAGAATCCTTATATTGTTCTTGCTATAGAGCCCCTTGGAAAATATTTGTATGTTTTTCTGCTTACTCCTCACCTGGTTTGAAGATCTCTGTACTAGTCATGAGATAAGGATCTAACTGAAGACTGTAATGGCAGTATTGGATTGGGAGGCTGATTAGAGACATATCTAAGACATACTAAAGAAACTTAGTGACTCAGTAGACTTTGGAGTGAAAGATGAGTCAAATATAATTCTTAAGATTCTCAGTTTAGGGAGTTAGATAGATTTGATGCCATTCATTGATTGCACAGAGAAGGTAAAATAATCTTGTACAGGTTGGCTGGATTTCTTTTTGCCCATGGAACTTTAACGGGTAAATTTTCAGTAAGTCTGAAACACAAAAGAAGCATCAAAGATAAAGTGGCTGTAAATTTGGGAGACCTGAGTGTGTAAGTGGATGACACTATCTAAGGGAAAGTTTTTGAAAGAGAGGAAAAGCTCTAATGATGGAACTTGGGGAAACCCAACTTTAGAGAATGGAGAAAAGGAGGGAACGTGCTGGGTAAATGTTATTAAAAACAAATCTCTCAACCCAGAAAGCCTCTCCCCCAAAATAGAATAGAAAGAAAACAGTTTCATTACTGAATAAACATTAATCCAGAAAGTAATATGCATCATAAGCAGTCTGCTAAGAGATTGCAGAAAAACAGAAAGAAATCTCACTCTTGGATATGGCCAAGCCATTTCAACTCATTTCATATATGTTCTCAGGATAAACAGTAACTAGTCCTAAAGTAAGAGGACTTGACAGCATTATCTGTCACACGTAAATTCATCCTAAATTCACTTAGTAATAGGAGTTCCCATTTGTGTTAGCTAATTGGCTTTATCCAAAGGGAAAATAAACTTCTCGTACCTTTATGATAGGAGATAGTTTTGCAACTTTCAGGAGGCACCAGCCCAAGTTAGGCTCCTACCCCCCCACTTAAACTGGGATATAGGGGCATGATCTTCCTTGATAACTGCATTCTGAAGAGGTGGTTTCCAGGTTCTTGAGAAAGACATTGCTATATGTAAACCTGGCAAGAGGCTTTTAAGCAAAAGCCTTTAAAAAGATTTTTACATACATTTCAAAGAGAGAATTCACAATTCTAAATTTTCTAAAGTAAATGAGAGAGTCTTTTCCCTCCTTTTCTACATGGGCTTCTTTTTTCCTTTGTATTTATCCTTACATATGTAATGTGAAAATGAAGGGAGAAATTAGAGTGCTTTCATGAAAACCAAAGGAAGAGAATATTTTGCAAAGGTTGAGGGAGTAGTACTCTTCAAGGAGGTTATATTCCATTTGTGGGATAAACTAGCATAACATAACTAAATATGTAAATTTTTAAAATAAATATAAAAATAATAGAGCATTACATGGTTGTGTAGTATAGATTGAAAGTACTGTAGAAATTCAGTAGCATGAGGTCATTAAGACCTTAACTAGTTAGAGGAGGCTTTCTGGAAGTGAGAAACCATAGGCTGAAGGAGAGAAGGATATTTTGAAGGAGAGATTCAGTTTATATAATTTATATTTAAAATCCCAGTTTAAAACAGATCTTTCATTATTCTCTCTAATGAATATAAACAGAATATAAACGTTGTGGACCATGATGTTCATAATCCATTGGCCAAAATTCTCCCTTGGGTAGTGTTAATACTTGAGGGAAAGAATGACAACCATTTTCCCCTGTGACTTTCTATTTTGTATGTTCCCTCTTTTAATCACCTCCTTTCAGATTAACAGTTATTTGTTTTATATGTTAATAGCTTTAAGTCTTCTCCAGCTTAAAAGGCACTTTTTTCTCTAGGATACTTGCATGCATGCCAAGTCACTTCAGTTGTGTCTGACTCTCTTTGACCTTATGGACTGCAGCCTGCCAGGCTCCTCTGTCCATGGGATTTTCCGAGCAAGAATACTGAAATGGATTGCCATGTCCTCCTCCAGGGAATCTTCCCAACTCAGGGATCAGACCCTATCCTCCTGCATTGCAGGCAGATCCTTTACCATCTGGGCCACCAGGGAAGCCCCCCTAGGATACTTACCTGGATTTATTTTAAGCTTAACTTGGAAAGATCAGCTTTTTTTTTTTTTTCTTTGAAAGTACTGTGCAATTAACCCTGGTGTTAAGGAGACAAAATTAATTTTTTTTTCTTGGCTTTCAGTTATCTTTGTGTGTTGTGGTTCCCAAGACCACCCTCAGGTTTGATCATCACTGGAAGGACTCATAGGACTCAGCATACTGTCATAAGCATAACTATGACTCTTACAGAGGAAGGTTGGAAAGCAAAATCAGCAAAAGGAAAAGACTCTGTGCAGTGCCTGGAGGAACCAAGCACATGTTTTCAAGTGTCCTCTCCCAGTAAAGTCAGATGGGACACACTTAATTCCCCCAGCAATAAATTCTGACTACATGTGTGAAATGTCATCTACTGAGGAAGCTTAATAGAGACTCAGTGCCCACAGTTTTTATTGGAACTGACCCATGTAGATATTTTCTGTCTGGCATATACCAAAACTCTAGACTCACATTGTCTACAGAAGTGGTTTAGGTGCAGTCAGCCACTTCTGTCATTTAGGGATTGTGGAAACCCTCCTGAATCTTAACATCCCAGGTACCAGTCAAGTGTCAGCATTCAACAACAGACCTTTTTGATGATTGCAAACTCAGGCCTGATGTGTTAGCCCTTTTCTCTACACCTTGTTTTTTGTTTTGTTTTTAAATCCAGTGATTTGCAGGTAAAATCAAGACTTGGCACATCAAGTAACGCTTTTAAGTATATTACAGGTATGCACCAGAGTCACTGACAGAGAGCAAGTTTTCCGTGGCCTCCGATGTTTGGAGCTTCGGAGTGGTTCTCTATGAACTCTTCACTTATATTGAGAAGAGTAAAAGCCCGCCAGCGGTCAGTATGCTTTCTGTTTACTTCCAATGTTTTTTAACATGAGAAAAGCTTTTCCAAAGAGTATTAGTAAACTTAGGGTTATTTTAGAGTTCCTATTGGTTATTTATAAGACAACAAGCAACAAAGTAACCCCCAAACTAACGCATTAAGTTAACTTGAGGTTTTAAAAGGTGGGGATTGTAGTAGTTTAATATATTCTCTTAATATTATTTTTAGTAAATCCAATAAACTCATTCATCCTGGGAATTATTGCAAATGTTAAACCTTTTAAAGCAATATTTTTTCTATTCATTGTATAATTTTAATATAGGACAGTATAGAAAAGAAAATGAAAGTAATCTCTAATTCAGCTACTTAGAGGTAACCACTTTAATATTGTAGTATGTTTTCTTTCAGGAGTCTTTTAATTTTATATGTAAAAATTAAATTTTATTTGTTTTATTTATAAAAGAAGTCACACTGTACAGTTTGCTTTCCTGCTTTTTCATTACAGATTATAACATGGACATTTTCCTATGTTAATAAATATTTACGACAAATATGACTTCTAATTTCTTGGTGGTGTTTCAACATAAGGATATAGTTTCTGGGCAATTATTTTCCGTTTTTCAGCCTTTTAAGTAACACTCATTGAACATAGTGGCTATCCTTATATATAAATATTTATGTTTATCTCTGGTTGTCATCTTAGAGTGAAAATGTAATTATATGTGAAACATTATAAACTCTTATATATAAAAGATTTTGATGATTTCAAAATGCTCTCCAGGAAATCTGTATCTCAATTAGACTCTCAGTAACTGTGCATAGAGCTATATATTTTATCATTTGTCAGTGTTGACTGTTACATTTCCACGCAGCTTTGCCAAATTGATGGGAGAGAAGTTGTACCGATTTGATTTTAATTTGCATTTCTGCCTTTAGTGTGATTGGGTACATATTTATTGGGTGTTTGGGGTATGTGCATGTGTGCATTGTATCCTTGTGTACTTTGCCCATTTTCATATTGGTAATTTTTCTTATCAATATACAAGAGTTTTCTGTATTTAAATAAATGTGTTCATTGTAAATATTCCTCTACCTTATGGTTCAGACTTTAATCTTGTGAATTTTAAACATATGAACATCTCTCCATTGCATTTATGCTTTAATATTCATTCTGCATTTTTTATGTCCTCTTCTACATTCAACTTTTTATTTCAACTGAAATGTGATATGATGTGTTCAAACACGGTGTGTTTTTAGTTCACTGGGTTTGAATTCTTCTCAGGGTATTTGTGTTGAGGGTGTTACAGTTACAGAAATGGCATTATAGAGGTTCCACATTTAACAATCTTTTATGAAGTATGATTGAAAAGGAAGTTTTTGAAGTTAAAATAGTCTTGTTTTTAAAAGTTTCAAGGTAAGGAAACATACATACACGGGATTTTCCCCATTTACTGGAAGAAATTGAGAATTCTGCTTCAAATGTACCAAAAATATGTCATTGAAAAGTGGGTTTGTGTTTCAGGAATTTATGCGTATGATTGGCAATGACAAACAAGGACAGATGATTGTGTTTCATTTGATAGAACTCCTGAAGAATAATGGAAGATTACCAAGACCAGATGGATGCCCAGATGAGGTAACAAAATTTTTTTTATCCACAGTAATCATACATTTTCTTTCTCTTTTTACCCAAGGATTTCAGGTCAGTTTATGCAATTCACTGGACTTTTATTTTTTTTTTCCATTTATTTTTATTAGTTGGAAGCTAATTACTTTACATCATTGCAGTGGTTTTTGTCATACATTGAAATGAATTAGCCATGGATTTACATGTATTCCCCATCCCGGTCCCCCCTCCCACCTCCCTCTCCACCCTTTCCCTCTGGGTCTTCCCAGTGCACCAGGCCCGAGCACTTGTCTCATGCACCCAACCTGGGCTGGTGATCTGTTTCACCCTAGATAATATACATATTTCGATGCTGTTCTCTTGAAACATCCCACCCTCGCCTTCTCCCAGAGTCCACAAGTCTGTTCTATAGATAAATAGCATAAACATGACTGTGGATGTAGATAGCCATGACATATGCCTCTATAAAAAAATTAAGTGGGAGTTCCGAATTCATGTCTTCACCAATTAAAAAATGGCACTTTGTGTTCATTGTAATTTTGGTTTATTTTCCCTTTTACAGATTTATGTGATTATGACAGAATGCTGGAACAATAGTGTAAGCCAGCGCCCCTCATTCAGAGACCTAGCTGTTCGAGTTGATCAAATAAGGGACAACATGACTGGATGAAAGAAATGAACTTCACTCTGAGACCAGAATAGACTTACAGAACAAAGTTTTGTATTTCATATTGCTGTGGACTATTGTTACGTATATCATTATTATGTATATCACAATATTAGCCAGCAAAAGTGTGGAAATACCTGCTTACTTTCGAAGTTTAGTGAGTTTTTCTTCATGAGGATACCAGCCAAAACCATTGATGAAAAGTCCTTAGCAAAGAGTTCTGTAAAATATTTCGGGAACCTGATCAGTCAGTTAACATCACTTTTCTTTGGCCAAAATGAGAAAATTAGACATTTTTCAACTAAGAATTATGAGAGATTAAAAAATTGTAAATTTTAAATATATACAGAATACATATGTACAGTTTTTACCATAGTGAATGTATGACACCTTGGCGTCTTGTGTGATGTTTTACACAAGGGCTGGTATTCATAAATAATGTTTTCTAATTTTTCCATAGTTGATCTATGATAACTTCACTCTATAGATAAATTAAGATGCTCAGATAATTGAATATGCACCTTTTTGTCCTTGCACATCTATGTCACTGGCCAGCAATATAAGCAGGTATATACTTTAGCTTGTTGTTCTGTGTACTGTAAATATTTTTCAAAGCAAAGGGAACAAATGTTTAGTTTTATTTGTATAGGGAATTTTCCTGACCCTCTAGAATACATTTTGAAATGGAACAAGTTTACAAAGATTAACACAATATATTTTCTTATTTGTCTCCCTTGTATTTGTTTGTGGCACGTATGTTTTTTAAATAGAACTATCTCCAGATTTTTCTAAGACTACCGTGAACAGTTTTCTTTTAAAATTTTGAGATTACAAATGCCAGGAATATTGTCATCCCTTGAGCTGTTTGTTGGTTGCCAATAAGATTCTTCAATCCCTGGGACCTATGGTCATGCATTAAATTTAAGTGTAAGCTATAGTATAGATTTTGTTTTTCATATATATAAGCCTGCTAAGATGCACAGTGGGTTAGGAATTTTTTTCTAAAGAATGTATATTTTAGGGATTTCAGAAATCTATTGCAGTCATAAAAGAGATCTTTTTTGTTGTTGTTAGATTCTTATATACAAGGGAGAAATTAAATTGATTTTTAAAAATGATTAATTTTATTCAAAAATGCCAGTAGAAAATTCTGTATATCTGGAAGAAAAATGAGTGTTTTCAATTAAGTATAAAGGGTTGTTTATTATTGTTGTCATTTTAGTGCTACTCCATTTTAGACATCATATCTATGGTGGGTTTTTTTGTGTGTGTGTTATTTATACAAAGTTTAAAATACTTGGAATTTTGGTTAGAAAGAAAATAGTTCATTTTCAGGGCTATATTCTTTTTTTTTTTTTTTAACTTAAAGACTTTACATTATCTAACTTTCAGAGCTGGTTTATAAATGCATATTATATAAGAAAAAAAAGCCTCACACATAAAGTTTGAGTTTTTTTGTTGGAAGGGAAGGGAAGAAATGCTTTTTATGTTATCTTTAAAGTATTTGGGCTTCCTTCGTAGCTCAGTTGGTAAAGAATCTGCCTGCAATGCAGGAGACCCCGGTTCAATTCCTGGGTTGGGAAGATCCCCTGAAGAAAGGATAGGTTACCCACTCCAGTATTCTGGGGCTTTCCTTGTGGCTAAGCTGGTAAAGAATCTGCCTGCAATGCAGGAGACACCAGTTCGATCCCTGGGTTGGGAAGATCCCCTGGAGAAGGGAAAGGCTACCCACTTCAGTATTCTGGCCTGGAGAATTCCCTGGACTATATAGTCCATGGGGTTGCAAAGAGCCAAACACGACTGAGTGACCTTCACTTACTTTAAAACATTTTACCAAATGTAGTTACCAAACACACAAATCTTCTGAAATGATAATATATTAGATTTTAAAAGATTTCTAGTAAATATTTTGATGAAAGTTGACTATAATTTTTATTTAATTTGTAAAAAGACTCCTCCAGGATCTGTATATGTAATGTTCGTGCACTTAGATCTTCCATTCTGCTAATTTTCAAGTCAAAAATAGCATATCATATATGTTTGATTTCAGATTTTTGTACTATAACTTAGGTACCTGAAATAGATTCTTACAGGTCGATAACATTTTGTTTATAAAAATAAGGATGTTAACTAGGTTTCTTTTAAAATAGTTTTTCTTTTAATGCTTGTTTTTAGTTTTAGGAGAAAATTCCATATATCTAAAGTTTTTAGATGGAATGACTGCTTTATTGTAAAATTCTAAGTTTACAAGAGAATTATTGTTCATTGAGTGTTTATGATGTTTTAAATTTTGATTCAGACCTTATATAAAAGGAAAGTAAACTTGCCACTGTTTAGTTGATTGTGCACAAGACACAGGTAAGTAAGTATTGTACCAGTTAATGCCAGACAGCTTCTTCAAATTAATATTCTTCAGAAATGAGGGTTTAAAGATTTTCTTTAAAATCTGTGATTCTGTAAATATTCCAGTATTTTAAGTTACACAGTCTTTATATAAATAATTCCCTATATCCATGGCTACCTACTTTGGGAAACACTTTTCATGTTATTTACATATGCTGCCAGTAGCACTATAATTTGCTATGGAAGAGTGCTTTCTTACAACCCAAGACTTCTGCTTTAAAATCAAGTGAACTTTTTTTATCACAACTATAACTTGATATTTAAATTTTATTTAAACAATTTTGTTATGGACATGAGAAGATACTGCAGTACTATATACATAGGGACTCATTTTGGGGCAGCATGATGTGGTCAGATTGAGACTGTATTATTTTCATCATTGTGCCTTTAGCATGTTCCCACAAAATTGACATACTGATGTAATAAATAATTCAGAAGTGAGTGATCACACCATCATGATTATCTTGATCGCGAAGATTTTTTTTGTACAGTTCTTCTGTGTATTCTTGCCACCTCTTCTTAATATCTTCTGCTTCTGTTAATCCAATACCGTTTCTGTCCTTTATTGAGCTCATCTTTGCATGAAAATTTCCCTTGGTATCTCTAATTTTCTTGAAGAGATCTCTAGCCTTTCCCATTCTATTGTTTTCCTCTATTTCTTTGCAGTGATCACTGAGGAAGGCTTTTGTATCTCTCCTTGCTATTCTTTGGAACTCTGCATTCAAATGAATGTATCTTTCCTTTTCTCCTTTGTTTTTTTTTTTTTTAAGTATAATATAATCTTTTTTCTTTTATTGTAATGAGAATACAACATACATGAGATCTGTCTTTCTAAAATTTTAAGTGGACAATATAGTAACTATAGACAGAATGTGGTACAGCAGTTCTCTAGAAGTTGTTCATCTAGTAAAACTGAAACTTTGTAATCATTGGACAGCAACACCCCATTCTCCCTTTCTCCAGCCCCTGGCAACCAATATCAGTTCAGTTCAGTTCAGTCACTCAGTCATGTCTGACTCTGCGACCCCATGAACTGCAACACACCAGGCCTCCCTGTACATCACCAACTCCCAGAGTTTACCCAAACTCATGTCCTTTGTTTTTCGCGTCTCTTTTCACAGCTATTTGTAAGGCCTCCTCAGACAGCCATTTTGCGTTTTTGCACTTCTTTTTTTGGGGGATGGTCTTGATCCCTATCTCCTGTACAATGCCACAAACCTCCGTCTATAGTTCATCAGGCACTCTGTCTATCAGATCTAGTCCCTTAAACCTATTTCTCACTTCCACTGTATAATCGTAAGGGATTTGATTTAGGTCATACATGAATGGTCTAGTGGTTTTCCCCTTTCTTTATGTTAAGTCTGAATTTGTCAATAAGGAGTTCATGATCTGAGCCACAGTCAGCTCCCAGTCTTTTTTTTGCTGACTGTATAGTGTGTCTCCATCTTTGGCTGCAAAGAAGATAATCAATTTGATTTCGGTGTTGGCCATCTGGGGATGTCCATGTGTAGAGTCTTCTCTTGTGTTGTTGGAAGAGGGTGTTTGCTGTGACCAGTGTATTCTCTTGGTAAAACTCTGTTAGCCTTTGCCCTGCTTCATTCTGTACTCCAAGGCCAAATTTGCCTGTTACTCCAGGTATTTCCTGACTGCCTACTTTTGCACTCCAGTCCCCTATAATGAAAAGGACATCTTTTTTTGGGTGTTAGATCTAAACGGTCTTGTAGGTCTTCATAGAAACGTTCAACTTCAGCTTCTTCCGCGTCACATTACATACCTAAATATTAAAATATTTTCTAAATTACCAATTTTGTTTCAGTTTATTACAGTATGTTCATCTTAGGTTAAAATATTAATATTTTAATATTAATTAAAAATGTTGTGTTTATGCCAGATGTTATTGCATAGTACAGGGCCTAAATATTTTCTCTTCCAGTCTTAGAAATTTATAAGGAAAAGCCTTATCTCTAAATGAAACATCAATCAATATTAATGTTTTTTAAAAGTTTTTAATGAGAGCATTTTCCATTATAATGCCTTTGCATAGCAAATTGCTAACATCTTATTTTGAACTGTAGTAGATTTATGAAATCATTAAAAGAGTTCTAGGAGTCCCTGTTCTAGTTATCCATAGCCTTAGATTTTGTGAACAATTATGTTTTTAATAACTGTACCAGGAAGAACTCTTAATAGATGCTATTTATTGAGGTCAAGCATGTCACCTCTGAGCAGTGTGAACAGAAAGTAGCATAGCTTTTAGGTCTGACTACAGGTAAATAGCATTAATAAATGGTGCAAGGTGGTAAGGAAAAGGCACATAGCAGGACACTGTAGAGGCAGCTGGATAGGAAATTATTAGTTGCAGGTGATAACACATTATCAGATACAAGTATACTGAAGACACAAAGTATGCAACAGAAAGTTTTATCAGTTATCCTTTCAAGAACATAGTTGAAAATGTTTAGGTGCTTCCCACACACAAAAAGATAAGTAGGTAGTACTTTTAATGAAAAAGTTTGAGTATTTCAAACTCTTGGGAAAATGTGTATCTCAAACGAGTTTTCTAGTAGTATTGAGTATAAGCTTGTGAGTTGGACTTTATTAACTGAAACTGAAAACAGAGAGCAAAAAAAATCAGACACTATAGAAAGTAGAAATAAAATGAGAAATATAAACCTAAACATAAACTTAACAATTATTAAAATACTTGAAATTTTTTCAACTTCAACAACTTGAAATACACATGATACTTTCTTCTTCTGCATAATTTGTTGAAGATTGCTGTAAACCTTTATAACTATCCCAAATTTTAAGTATATAAGAACAAATGTCTTTTAATTTCCTGGCTGCAATCACCATCTGCAGTGATTTTGGAGCCCCCCAAAATAGTCTGATACTGTTTCCCCATCTATTTACCATGAAGTGATGGGACCGGATGCCACAATCTTAGTTTTCTGAATGTTGAGCTTTAAGCCAACTCTTTCACTCTCCTCTTTCACTTTCATTGAGAGGCTTTTTAGTTCCTCTTCATTTTCTGCCATAAGGGTGGTGTCATCTGCATAACTGAGGTTATTGATATTTCTCCCAGCAATCTTGATTCCAGCTTTATGTCCTCAGTAACATTTAAGTTGTTGGATTAATTTTGGTTGGAGAAGAAGGAAAAGAAAGTTGTTTGCAGAATCTTGATTCTTAAGAACAAGTAACTTAATTATCCAACAATACTGATTAAAATACTTTTAATCTTCATAACCCAGGTAGCTAAGCCCTTGAGGGCAAGCTGCAGGTAGCCCAGATCTAAATGACAAATCTAATGTAGTTTCTGTTGAATGATATAAATTATTGTCTACTGTTCACAAAGCATTTTAAAAACAAAAATAGTTACTATTTCCCACAAATTCTGCCAGAATGTTGTTTTCTTTCCTTCTTTAAAAAAATGTTTTAAATACTTGTTTCTATCAGTAAGTTTGAGTACAGCATGAATCCCCTGGTACCACTTCTTTTCCTTTCTGTTATTAGTTTTGTAACATTATAATGTAACTTACTGAACAGTAATTCTTGATAATATAGTAAGGGTATTGGTGATTTAAAAAATTGAAACAAAATCCTACCTTTTCATTGAAGGACTTTGAGAAATGTTGAATTCTAAATCCTGAGTCTATCATTCTATTTCCTTAAGGTGGCCCCATTTACTTCCCAAACTACTATTATAGAGGAATAAAACTCCATAGAGGAATAAAACTCCAAAAACTGAGGTTACTGTAGAGGACAATCTTTTTCCTAATAATGATTTGGAAATCTGAGACCTAAAGAGCAATGTATGTGGTGAGGGGGAAAGGAAGATTTCTAGATTCTGTCAGATCTCAAACTTGCATTTAACAGGAATTTTTTCTAACATCTTGAATTTCTCTTGTTTTAGGATTACTATAATAAATGTAGAAGGTGTTGACTTAAAAACTGCACAACGTGAGAGTTATGAGTTAAATTTTATTTGGGGCAAAATGAGGACTGCAGCCCAGGAAACAGCATCTCAGACAG